CTGAGGTGGGCTGATCACCTGAGGTCAGGAGTTTGAGACCAGCCTGGCCAAACATGGTAAAACCTTGTCTCTACTAAAAATATTAAAAAATTAGCCGGGTGTGGTGGTGGGCACCTGTAATCCCATCTACTCGGGAGGCTGAGGCAGGAGAATTGCTTGAACCCAGGAGACAGAGGTTGCAGTGAACCAATACAGTGCCACTGCACTCCAGCCTGGGCGACAGAGTGAGACTCCATCTCAAAAAAAAATAAATAAATAAAGTGTAATATATGGATACCCACTCATTTGGAATATCTTTTAAAGTGATCAAAGGTTGAGTTTGTGTTTGCCTCATGTTTTCTATATCTGTGCATGTTTTCTGTGTCAACAAAATCAATAATGTATGTTAACTTGTTAAATTACATAGATTAATCTGAGAATATTTGGAGACACTTTTAAAAAAACAACTTGTATTCAACTTTCTTAACCACTCTAAGAGTATTTATAAACAATTGAAATGCTACTTCCTTATAATCAACTGACAAGCTTTTTATTGCCCTAGGACCCAGTTCTACTGGTGTTTATTGCATTGGGATTGATTTAGATGATCTTTTCCCTATTAGTGCAAATTAGCTGTTAAGCCTGTAGAAGGATGACATTGCTTCCTTTGGTTTCATGGCCAGATTACTTAGTTGCCCCCTATCTTTGAGAGTACTCCTCCTCTGGCAGTAGAAAAGCAAAGAGAAGTCATGCAGATACAGAGATAAGGAAGACAGGAAAGCACAATTAGGGTTATTGGGCTGAAATTCGTGCCCCCATGTATGAGGGTGATGGGAGAAATGGTCTGTTAAAGAGGATAGTGGGTGGTAGGGGCAAGGGGGGAGAATACTGTTACTGTTTCGTGGGCAGTAATTACATTTGGCCTATGAACAGAAAAATATGTATTTTAATATAACCTCAATATAGCCTCTCTAATGTTTACTGCCAAGACCTAAAATTTTGAGACATGGCATGAAGCATTTCTGCAATGACAGAATTCTCACTTTATTTTTTTCTAATGAAATACTGTCATTGAACAAGATTCCATATTCTACTATATATCACTCTTTTACTATACTCCAGAGGGGGAAAGTTGTCCTGATGACCATTTCTAAGACTAAAGAATCTTTACATGGTGAAAGTCCTAGCCAGCCATCATTTGGCCACAATGGTGGCTTATCAAAAGGGTATGTGGCAGGTTATACCAGCCTCAGGAGGTGGAGCAAAGCAAAAGAGGAAATCTTGCCATGTCATGTTTCAAAGCTCTTGTGAATGTTGAGATCTCATTAGAAATCTTTCAGCTTTAATAGAGTCTCACCAATAGGTGCTCTGCCTGCTCTTTTGCAGGTTGGTCAGGATAGGAAGCAGGGCCTCCACAATGCCAGTTCCTCAGGGAACAATTCACGAGAATCTAAGGAGTTGTCTCCCAGCAGTGCCAGGAAAGACAGGCTGCCAAAATGTTACTAGTAATTAAGGACTAGGTACCTGAGGGCAGCAACTAAGCACGTGCTAGTTATTATAACATCCAGGTAGAACAAGTGAAACTCCTCTTTTATGTGAGTTTAATTGGGACTGGGAGACATTTACAGTCACATTAATGTATACTGCACATGCACACACACAGACACACACACAGCTACTGTTGCTGGCAGTGGAGAAAATGGTGTTTGGGTCTGGCCACCTAGGAACATGAGATCACAAAGCACAATGGCCATTAAGTCAATATTGATTTAGTAAGGTGCTAAACAGTGGTTAAGTTCCCAAATGTATGCTCAATGATGCTTTTGGATAATAGAAACATGTTCCTTAAGTATCTTCAGCCAACAGTGTTCCTGTGTAATTAGCAAACATCTTAATTATACACTTGGATTTGAAGCTTATGCTAGCTAATCTTAAAGTATAAAAATTAAACAAATTAGATAAAGAGAAAAAGTTTGGAAGAGAGACTGCATGTAGCATGGAGGTTAAGAGCGTGAACTCTGAGCCATAGCTGGATTCAAATCTCACCCTGGTATTTACTAGCTCTGCAATATGAAAAAGTATTTAATCTCTGTGTTTCAGTTTTTTCACCTGAAAAATGAAAATAGTGCCTCTCATTGGGTCACGGTGAGCGTTGGAATGCTGAAAACAAGTTAAAGCTCTTTTGAACTGTGCTTGGAACGTGAAATGCTAAATATATTTAGCTTATTTTAGATACGGTATTTTAAGAGTAATAATTCCACAAATGGGTCATTACACAGTAGAAATTTTGAAAAGGAATAGTAATTAACAATTCAGAAATTTTATCATAAAATCTCAGAAGCTTGCCCACATTTCCCACAGGGAAGTAAACTAATACTTTATATGTGTAATAGTTTGTTAACGTTTATTAAAATTTGAAAATAAGGTAAATTTATTCAACAAACATTTTTATTGGGTACCCATAAGCATCATGGGAAGTGATATGATGTCATAGGGATACATAAGACATTATTACCCACTTTGAAGAGCTTAAATGTATTATAACAGTATAAAATATTCAAGCATTTTAGAAACATTACTTTGATATAAATATAATTAATTAAGTAACCATATTTTTGGTCCTTTTAGAAAATATATTGGATAGATACACATGGCCAAAGATACACTGGAGATATTTATTACCTTGAACTCTTGGAGTAAATATGGATTATTACTCAATTTCAAGTGTCCTACATATGTTCACAAAATCACAGTATAAACTTAAATGTACCTGAAATGCTAAATGTGATGTCGATAATCCGCTCCCTAGGTTTATGCTACAGACCACAGCCTTGTGTGTAAGTGCTGGAGAATATATTAAGTATTCTTCGCGATATTTCCTATCATTGACCTTAAATCAGCCGTGAGAATAAGCACAGCATTGTAGACTGAAAGCCTAAAGCAATATGAATTTTATCATTAATTTGCAAGCAAATATCACTTTCAATAAAATTTGAAAATATCACCCTTGGCTGTTTCTAGTCAATTAAATTATGGTTATCATCAGATGTGGTCCTATAAAGGATGAGAACATTTTAATGTGCTGGAATATTTTTAATGCTTACAAAATTATGGGGGAAGAATGGAAGTGACATTGACATGTTATTTCAGATGTTAATAATAATTTCCAACATGTTTTTATTTGTCATACCCATTTAGTTCTCTGAGAGATAAGAGAGGGAAACTTGGTCATGCCCATTTTTCAGATGAATCAGTTGAGACTTAGAGGAGAGTTTATCTAATTGCCCAAAAGACAGATTAATGCTATTGAAGATTTTCTTAAGCTCTGATAGAGTCATCAGTTGACTGTGTTTTTAGATTACCTGGGTGCTTGGTTCTTTTCTGTTTTGTCTAGTTTTTGAGGCACTTTGCTGGGTATTTTTCATTTGCCCACTCATCCATTCATCGGAAGTATCTGGGTTACTAGTGCCTGTTACTAGTGCCTGGGCAGCATCTTCCATTAACATACGTGAATAGGATACATCTGCTTTTCCTTGATAAACAGTTCTAAAAATCAGATGTCTGTGCCTCAAATCTTTTATTAAAGAGACAGTCTATAATTATTGAAGTTTAAAATTTTTGTTAATATTAAACTTCTTTTTTTTTTTTTTTTTTTTTTTTGAGACAGAGTCTCGCTTAGTCGCCCAGGCTGGAGTGCAGTGGCGCGATCTCGGCTCACTGCAAGCTCCGCCTCCCGGGTTTACGCCATTCTCCTGCCTCAGCCTCCCGAGTAGCTGGGACTACAGGCGCCCGCCGCCTCGCCCGGCTAATTTCTTGCATTTTTAGTAGAGACGGAGTTTCACCGTGTTAGCCAGGATGGTCTCGATCTCCTGACCTCGGGATCCGCCCGCCTCGGCCTCCCAAAGTGCTGGGATTACAGGCGTGAGCCACCGCGCCCGGCCAATATTAAACTTCTTAAAGACAGTAGTTTGTCTTATTCATCTTTTAAGCCTGGTTCCAATATTTAATATAGCTTTTGTTGTTTGATGGCTTATCTTTTATCTGAATTGTAAGATTTTCTGTGATGAATGTGATATTAGTGGCTATAATTGTAAACACAAATTACTCTATTTTTAAATCAAGTTAATTGGTATAACGTAGTCCTATTGTATGTTAAATTTGTGTCCTGTAAGTTCTCATGACTGTTAGGATTAAGTAGAACGTGTCTGTTTTCTTCAAGAATTTTTAAATAAATTGAACTGTTACCTTTGTAATATAAGTAATTCTCACATACCTAAGCTCAGTTTGGTGCTTCGGAACTTTTTTTTTTAACCCGTTCTCTCATTCATCCGTCTTCCCAATTATCTATCCATCTACCCATCTACCTCCCAACTTTCCCACATCCCCCACCACCTCCATCATATTCGCATATGAAGTAATTTACCCTTCCTTTAAACTCTCTTTCAGATATACAAGATATGTGATCTTGTATTTCTTAAACTTTCTGGTCTCTGTTTCCTTATTCTACAATGAGAATCATAATAGATCTACTCATTAAAGTATTAAATTGGTTAATTTATATAAAACATTTAGAACAGTGCCTGGTGTTAGTTAAGCATTCAGTAAATTTTAGCCATTTTCATTTTTATCATGGTTCCGATCTCTACCTGCACTGCAGTACAGTGGTGGTACATTTCTTAACTCCTCCCCCACTAGGCTGAACACTTGTTGAGGACAGGGTGAGGCTTGGTTATACTGAACATATTAGCTGGGTTCGTATGCAGCTTATGCAGTCTCTTACAGGAGACAGGCAGTGAAGACTTGTAAAATGAATGAAAGAAGGAAGGAATTTGTTATCCTAATACCCATAGTAAGTAATAATAATAATTGGGCTTTATACGTTTTCTCTTAGTGGAATAAACGATCATGTTCCCATTGACATAACAAGACCTATTTAGAGGAAAACTGTGCTTTAAGCAATGTGAGTCAGTATATTTCAAACATAATTTTAATTAGGCCTTATCATTTACGGTTTCTTATAGCACGAAAGTCAAAGAAGTTGGGAAAGTTAAAAGGGATTCACGAGGAGCAGCCACAGCAGCAGCAGCCCCCACCCCCACCCCCACCCCCGCAAAGCCCAGAGGAAGGGACAACGTACATCGCTCCTGCAAAAGAACCCTCCGTCAACACAGCACTGGTTCCTCAGCTCTCCACCATCTCACGAGCACTCACACCTTCCCCCGTTATGGTCCTTGAAAACATTGAACCCGAAATTGTGTATGCAGGCTATGACAGCTCAAAACCAGATACGGCCGAAAATCTGCTCTCCACGCTCAACCGCTTAGCAGGCAAACAGATGATCCAAGTCGTGAAGTGGGCAAAGGTACTTCCAGGTAGGATTGCCTCTCCTTTCATGTGCTGCATCCTGAACTTAACAAGTCTGGGCAACTGACTTCGCCATCTCCAAGCATGCAGTAGGAGTTAGCTTTTTTTTTTTTTTTTTTTTTTGAGACAGAGTTTCGCTCTTTTTGCCCAGGCTGGAGTGCAATGGCGCTATCTCGGCTCACCGCAACCTCCGCCTCCCGGGTTCAAGCGATTCTCCTGCCTCAGCCTCCCGAGTAGCTGGGATTACAGGCATGTGCCACCACCCCGGCTAATTTTGTATTTTTAGTAGAGACGGGGTTTCTCCATGTTGGTCAGGCTGGTCTTGAACTCCCGACCTCAGGTGATCCACCCGCCTCGGCCTCCCAAAGTGCTGGGATTACAAGCGTGAGCCACCGCGCCCGGCAGGAGTTAGCTTTCTATGAAATCCTCACATCAGAGTTTTGTAATTGATAGCAAATTGATCAAGTATATAGGAAAAATATGGTTAATGTGCACATTTCTTCTGAGAATGCAGGATTAAGGATTTTATTGTTGAAATGACAGATACAGCTGGGAGCAGTGGCTCATGCCTGTAATCCCAGCACTTTGAAAGGCAAAGGTAGGTGGCTCACTGAGGCAGGAGTTCAAGGTCACGAGGTCAGGAGTTCAAGACCAGCCTGGCCAAGATAGTGAAACTCCGTTTCTACTAAAAATAAAAAATTTAGCCCTGCGTGGTGGCAGGTGCCTGTAATCCCAGCTACTCAGGAGGCTGAGGCAGGAGAATCGCTTGAACCCGGGCGGCAGAGGCTGCAGTGAGTGAACCGAGATCCCACCACTGCACTCCAGCCTGGGCAACAGAGTGAGACTCTACCTCAAAAATAAGATAAAAATTAAAAATTAAAAAAAAAATGACATATGCACTTCTTATGTTGATCAAAATGGAAAATGTCATACAAAAATATTAATAAGATAAAATACATTCTGTTCATGAAATCACAAGGTGAGCACATTATTAGCAGCTCATAACTAATGTTAATCTAAGCATAGACCAAGTAAGCCAAGGCCTAGCAAGTAAGTTGTCAGAGACCTGGAATGACTCTTCTGTCTGAAAAAAAATCACCTTGCCCCTAGCACCCTTTAAATTGTCCCTGGAATTCCTATTTTAGTCATTTTTTTTGTTTCATGAGATTTAATTGATAAGGCCCCTCTAAATCTACGGAAACATCACTTAGAAATTGCCATTCCATTGTCCCAGTTTATTAATCTAAAGCAGTTTCTTAGATTACCTGTGGTCAGACAGCAGCTGTAACAGTTGGGGAAAGCTCCACTGACTGATTCTTTGAAGAGGAGCTTACCCAGTGCAACTCCACAGGCAGAAAAATAACATGATGCCCTTGGAGACAGGGCAGTAATAAAACAACAAAAGAAGGCCCGGTACAATGGCCCATGCCTGTCATCCCAGCACTTTGGGAGGCCGAGGCAGGCAGATCACTTGAGGTCAGGAATTCAAGACCAGCCTTGCCACCATCGTGAAAACCCATCTCTACTAAAAATACTACTCGGGAGGCTGAGACAGGAGAATGGCGTGAACCTGGGAGGTGGAGCTTGCAATGAGCCGAGATCGTGCCACTGCACTCCAGCCTGGGCGACAGAGCGAGACTCCGTCTCAAAAAAATATATATATATACAAAATTTAGTTGGGCATCCTGGCAGGCACCTGTAACCCCAGCTACTTGTGAGCCTGAGGCAGGAGAATCGCTTGAAACCCAGGTTGCAGTGAGCCAATATCATGCCACTGCACTCCAGCCTGGGTGACAGAGTGAGACTGCATCTTAAAAAATAAATAAATAAAAGAACAAAAGAAGAGCTTGAGTCTGTCAGGCAAGGAGGACAGGTGCCAAGGAAACATGTTCTACCACAGAACTTTATCAAAGTCTGAGATTAACCTGGACCATAGGAGGCACCACATGCTCATTTTTTAAGGACCACAAATTCATGAAGAATGAAATCTCCCACCATTATTGCAGACACACAGGGGTTGACAGTTATTAGATTACCCTTTATTTTAGTGTTATTAATTGTGGGTGGGACAAAGCAAGTTTTGCAGGTTAATACAAATTCTCTCAATCTAACCAAGGGTTTTAGGCTGTCATCCATACTGAAATACTGAAACTCACTGAACTTTGCAATTTTAGTTTGCCCTGGCGGTTTACCCTCATCTGGAATTTAGGATGAATTTAAAGTGAAATGTGGAACAGGACTGGGCCTGTGGTAGGAGCTCTGTAAATGACTGTTGAATTGATCTGAGTCTATTAGGGAAGAGAAAAGTGAAAGAAAGGTGGCTGTTTGGGGCTGACTTAAGAAGCATCTTCCTGGAATGTACTTAAATGCTAAGTGTATTTCTGTGATTAATTGTTTTGTTCTTCAGGATTTAAAAACTTGCCTCTTGAGGACCAAATTACCCTAATCCAGTATTCTTGGATGTGTCTATCATCATTTGCCTTGAGCTGGAGATCGTACAAACATACGAACAGCCAATTTCTCTATTTTGCACCAGACCTAGTCTTTAATGAGTAAGTACCTATTAATTAGCCTTCATAAAATAAACTGCAGAGTTATTCGTTATGCTTTCTTTCAATAATTTCTAAACAGGTATACGTTGGTGAAAGAATCTACTGAAACTGGCATTTTTTAACGTTAAAAATTTACAGATCTCTAGGAACTTAAAAATTACTCTTTGCAACATTATACTGTACACTTCTGAGTATATATAAATCAGTATATATAAATTCCACATAATAATATGTGGGATATATCCCAAAAGAAAGATGAGCCAGTTGGCTCTGAAAATTGACTGGTACAAAGCCACAATTAATAGAAAACAGTCTCTTTTGGTATCGACTCCAATTGGGAAGACGATCTAATTTCTAGGAAATGTGAATGTATAAAGTGCCAGCTTTTACGAGCATCATATAATGGTTCTTTTGTTAACAGTATACAGCTGCTCAATGTGTTTTCATGACAATCGTAATTACCCTTCTTTGCCATCATAAAAGAAGCCAAACTGTTATTCTGTAGCGAAACATTTTTAGTTTTATGATGCATTTTAAAGACTGAAAGAATTGTAATCGGTTTTTCTTTGGCCACAAATTCCTTCCTATTTTAAGTTTACGTTTTAATACTGTTTGCATTCCTCATTAGCACATTTTATTTATGTTTATATCTAGCAGTGCTTCTTTGTAATTGTTGGGTCAAGAAATACTTAAAAGGGAATATTTGAATTATGATAGTAACTACAGCCATAGTCTAACAGATGGCTCTCTCTAGCGATAGGAAAACAGGGGTTTCAGTAGGGGAGGCAGATGAGAAATAGGTTGGTGATAAAAGCAAGAAAAGTAATGCAAAAGATGAAAAGTAGAGACAGATAATGCCAACATACCGCAATAGTACCAGTAGTAATTTACCTAAGAGGACCAGTTTGCCCACATGTGATATACTGCAAAGACAATTTTATTCCAAACATAAATTAGAAACATCAGTTGTTGGTTCTCGAGGTGGCCTTCTTTTGGCAATTTATCAAAAAGAATAATTCTAGTACTGCGTCAGTTTTCACCAAAAGCACGAAGTAAAGCCAAACAACTGACATGCACAATTTAATTAACTTGTATTCCTCAATAATCAACTGATATTATTGAATAGTAAGCCCATTTTAAAATGTGTTCTATAAACCAGAAGGAAAAACATATTAAAGAGGGTTCTTCTTTTAAAAGGACATGTGGGTAAATAGGAATCTCTATTAGTGCCATCGGTGTTTCAGCATTTGATTTTAGCAGAAGATTAAAACAACCCATTTAATCTTATTAATACATATATTAATTTTTGTCATAAAATGCATATAACATAAAATTTTTCATTTTTAAGCATACAACTCAGTAGCATTAATTACATTCACATTGTTGTGCAACCATCACCACTATCCGTATCCAATACTTTTTCATCATCCCAAACAAACTCTAAACCCATTCAACAATCAGTCCCCATTATCCCCTCCCATAAACCTCTGGTAGCCTCTAGTCTATGAATTTGCCTATTCTGTATATTTAATGTAAGTGGAATCATATAATATTTGTCCTTTTGTGCTTAGCTCATTTCGCTTAGCCTAATGTTTTTAATGTTCATCCATATTTAGTATGTATCAGAATTCTATTCCTTTTTATGGCAAAATAATATTCCATCATAGGTATATCAAGTCAGTCCTCATTAGTGGATTCTGTAGTTGCATATTTGCTTACTGAATGCATTTATTTATAATCTCAAAGTCAATACTCACAGGATTTTCATGGTCATTCACAGACAAATGCAGAGCAACAAGGAATTTGAGTTGCCAAGAGAGCACATTGCAGCTGAGCTCACACAAGCGGCCACTCCACCATCTTGTTTCAGCTTTCATGCTATACACTCATCCTTTTCACAGTCTATTTAGTGCCACATGTTTTGCATTTTTATGCCTTTTGGTGATTTCACCGTTTAAGTTGGCTGGCTGCTAGATGTAGTGCTGAAGGGCTAGCTAGTGTTCTTCAGCTCAAGAAAGCTATGATGTGCCTCACAAAGAAAATAGGTGTGTCAGATAATCATTACTGAAGTGTAAGTTATGGTTCTGCAGGCTGTAGTTCAGTGTTAACAAACCAGGAATATATGTTAAGTAAGATGTCTTTAAACAGAAATACACATGAAACAAAATTAGGTATAGATCAGTTGATGAAATGTGACCAGAGGTGGTAAGGACCATTACCCCAGACTTCCTCTATAGGAGGGATAGTTGTACATTTGCTAATTCAGTGTTTGCTGCTGTGACTTTATAGAACATGACTACAGCAAATATTTTATCCAATCATCTGTTAATGGGCAGTTTAGTTGTTTCTACCTTTGACTGTTATGAATAACGTTGCACTGAATATGGGTATACAAATATATCTTTGAGATGCTGCTTTCAGTTATTTCAGTACCTAGAATTGGAATCCCTGGGCATATGGTACCTCTGTGTTTAACTTTTTAAGGAGACACCACACTCTTTTTCCACAGCAGTTGCACCATTTTGCATTCCCACCAGCAATGTACAAGGGTTCTAATTTCTCCACATCCTTGCCAGCACTTTTTTCTTTTTATTAACTAGCCATCCCAGTAGGCATGACGTGGTATCTCACTGTAGTTTTAATTTGCATTTCCCTAATAGCTAATGATGTTGGACATGTTTTCATATGCTTATGGGCCATTTGTATATCTTCTCTGTAGAACTGTTCATGTAAGTTCTTTACCCATTTTTTAATTGGATTATATGTCTTTTTGTACTTAAGTTGTAGGAGTTCTTTATGTATTATGGATATTAAACCCTTATCAGAGGCATGATTTGTAAATATGTCTCTCAACCTGTGACTTGCCTTTTTACTCTGTTGAAAGTGTCCTTTGATGCACAAACATTCATAAGTGCAGTGAAGTCAAAATCTCTTCTTCTGTTGCCTTTTCTTGGGTGTCACTTATTACTTTTTAATTGTTTATAAATATCTGAATATAAAGGGCTCCAAACAATTACAGAATTGTAAGAATGTTTTTTCATAAATGGAACTTAGGGGAAAGCACCTTATATTTGCAGACTGGGAATAATGTACTTAAAGAGGTTTGGAAATAAATAAGAAACAAAAAAAAAAAAAAAGAAAAGGTCATAAAAGTTTTGTGTATTTGTCTATTCTAGAGAATATTGATACAGATAAAATGGAAACAATAAAAGATAAATGCTTTCTAATATTAAAAGTAGTTAAGTGTTATTGATGTAATTCCATTAGAATGGACATTTTGCTCTCTGTTCTTAAAACTTTTGACCTCAACCCAACCCAGACTTCTGTAGGGTTTCTTTCTATCAACTAGAAAGAACAGAGCAAAGCTGTGTTTTTCAAGGGGCTAGGGTGGATACTACTCTGGGGAAACAATTGGAAATTATATAAAGCCTTTTGGTCACATTGCATCAAAAAGAGAGCTCGATGTGGCAGCTCTGTCACTGGGTACCATGATAGACCCTGTATCTTTTAGGGAAATCAGTAAGTTACAGAGCATGCCCGAATGCATATGTATACATGCTTCATCTTGCATTTATTCCAGGAATATTTATTAACTGTTGTCAGTATTCTAAGCAGTAGTTTTAGAATAGTGAGAGAAGAAAATCCCTCTCTCATAGAACATACAGTCTACTGATGTATGACTGATGTAGAGAGACAGAAATACTGAGTTTTGTAAGTAAAATATAATTGCGATAAGTATTGAAAGGAAAAGTGCTCTGAGAGCAGTTAATTGGAGAGATTGATCTAGTCAGGAAAGTCTTCCCTGGGAATGATTAAACTGGTGTTCCCCAGGTGAAGGAAGTATATGAGGAGGAAAGTTGATCTAGCCTGAGAGACCAGCATGTGCAAAGGCCAAGTGACAGGAAGGAACATGGGCCTTCAATGAACTGAGAGCAAGACCGTGTGGCTGGAGGGGAGCCTAAGGCCAGGTCCTGTGGGTTTCAGAGGCCACATCAGAGACTTGGCTCTTTATTTTAAGAGCAGTGGAACAGCCATTGAATTATTCTAAGTGATGGGGTGGCATTTCCAGATTTGCTTCCTGAAAAGATCCCTCTGAATGCAGAATGGAAAATGGGTTAGAAGTGAGTCAGAGCAGATCTTGGGAAACCAGATCTTATGATGGGAATTCAGGTGATAGTGTAAGGTGAAATCAACAAGAATTGCTAGTGGTTGGATATTGGCAAGGACTGGAGTAGGGGAAGAATTAGCTGTCTAGGAAGACTTGCAAGCCTCTGCCATAAGTGCCAGGAAAGATTTGGTGCCCCTCACTGGGATGGGGAATAAGGGAAGAAGACTCAGGTTTGGAAGGGCAGGGGAGGGGAGAGCCTGGGACCAATTTTAAGGGTAAGATTGACTTGCCTTTGAAAAATTATCCAAGAAGACATTACATAGGCAGTTATTTCTACAGGTCAGAAACTAAAGAGGTGTCCTGGCTAAAGTTAAAAATTTTAAACTCATTTTGGAAGTAGTAGTTAAAAGAGGAATGTCGTGACACGGATCGCAAGGAAAGAGATGACTTTAAGAAAGGAGATGCGACTACCCTATCATGTTTTATGTTTTTGTGATCCCAGTGAGGTGTGACCTAGAAAACTCAAAGTATGCCTCATGCATTGCCTGCCAATGCCTTATACATTCATATCTTCTGAACATGTTCTACGCTTTCCCTGAGTCATTACCTGTGCTTTCATACCCTTCCACAACGGCAAAGGCAGCAGTCTGGCATTTTGTGTAAAGCAGTAGTGATGCAGCTCGCTTGAGGGCAGAGTACACCGATGTGGTCCTTGCTTGCTCCCCTACCAACCCTTGGCTGTTTACACCACCTCCCACCTGGTGTTGCCAGCTCTTAAGTGCGTGTATCTCTGCCTTATTTCACTGGCACACCTCATTGAAGTCACACACTCTGTCTTAATCATTTTTGAATCTCTAGCAGCTGGCATTGTGCCTGAATCATAGTAGGTACTCCATAAATATTTGCTGAATAAATGAATTATTGAACAAATGAACCAAACAATCTATTAATCAGTCCGAAAGGGGCTTCCTAAGTTTACATTTCTAATTATGAGGATGAAGTTTATGATGAAGTGGGATGCATGGCCTTCCTGAACAGAGGCATTGCAATATTTAAAACAGAGGAACAAAACTTTGGGTTTACCTTCAGCTGTGACACAGATCTGAAAGTTCCCAAAGATCTTTTTCTCTGGTATTAGCATCACTGGAGATGGAGGAAAGGTGGGAAATAGGGAATAATAAAGGAAACATTCTTTCTAATTTTTTATTAAACATTGGGGTGAAGATATTAGTTAATACTTTAAATTAACATAGAACTTTTCTTATTATAAACTCAAAACTTTTCAAATGTGTATTAAATGATTAATTATTCAATTTTACCTTGAAATAGCTTATCATATATTGCTACAGATTGCTGCAAGTATTCAAATTTCTTATCAATTCACTACACATATTAAAACTCCCACTGAAGCCTGTAATGACTTTTTTTTTTTTTTCATTTTTTTTATAAGTTCTGAAATGAAGGTTCAGTATTACTCTTTTACATCTTGGCTGATATTTTAAAATTAAACATATATTAAAGACTTGCTTATACTACCTCAAGTAGTAGCCCAGTAAAAAATGTTTTTGATGATCTTTTACTGTCCTCAGCGTCTGAACTTTGGATTGTTTTGGTTCACAGACTGTTGGCGAGAGTGAGAGAGGGTTGAAGTCTTAGTGGCACTTCATGTGACTTCCACTAAGGTGACTTCCACCCACACCATCCTGCGTCTGAAGCACTAGTTGTGTGAGGGCAGCTCCATTAGATGAGTACACAACTCAGTTGCCATCGGCTACTTCTTCTCATGTTTTCATGGGGTGCTACCTGTTTCTTTGTGTCCCCCGTCGCTGGATTAGTTTGCTGGCATAGTCCAGTTGTCCTCAGTGAGGGTTCTCCCCGGGCCATCCTGCCAGCATTACATTGCCAATGAGGTCCCTCTGTACCTAACATTCTGAAGCTCCATGAGGCCTGGCTTCCAAATGGGTTGTGTGTTCCAAAGTCTGTCCCACCGTGGTGGAGGCTGGGATCAGAGGATCCTCATGGAGGCCAGGAGGGGGTCGGAGGTATGGCGAGCCCCAGCGTCCCTTCCCACAGGGAGTGGTGGATCTTCCTGAGCCACTGGAGGTGACTTCTGTGCCTGGACCCTCACCCCAGCAGGGTTAGGGCCAGCGATAGTTGGGGGACAGGAGTTCTGATGAGAGGAGTCAGGGATGTAGGATGAACCTGATCAGCTCCTCCTTCAATGGCTGGTTTTGTTCTTCCTTCTCTCTCCCCAGCCCACTTCCCCTTCTCCTTCTTTCAAGTTAGGATTTCTTACTTCTCCTTGGCTCACTGGGAAACTGTTGTGTGATTTCTGCAGCTTCCAGTGTCTGACCCTCCTCCCTTTTCTTCTCACTTCTCCCTGCTCCTTCCTTTCCTTTCCCTTCTGTTACTCCCCTCCTTCCTTCTCCCCTTCTCTCTCCTTCTTCCACCTCCCACTGCCCCATACACCCCTTTTCCTTCCACTGAGAAACCTACTCCTGAGATTTCCATTGTTTTTTTTAATTTCTGGGTAAGTATGAGGGAATGAAGTTCAAAAGAAGGAAACAAGTCTTCCTTCCATGCCTTATTTTTCCGTTGGACCCTATGAAAAACCAGACCTCGCACCAGCAGCTAGAGGGCCAAGGCCTGCAGCCCACGGCCTGACCATGAAAGCAGCGCCCCCTGCAGGTGGCACACGTACTGCCGGCCTCGCCGTGGCTGCACTGTTCCCAGCGGGGAATCTGTCTGGGCCTGCAGCAACCTTAATTCTTGCCTCCTCAGAAGAAAGAATTTGACTGAGGGGCAGAAGGAGAGACTAAGGCGAATGTTACATAGCAGGAGTGAAAGTTTATTAAAAAGCTTTGAGCAGGAATGAAAGGAAGTAAAGTAACCTTGGAAGAGGGTGAAGCATGTGACTTGGGAGATCAAGTGTGCAGTTTGATCTTTGACTTGGGGTCATATATGTTGGCATGCTTTCTGGGAGATTGCGTCCCTTCTCCCCTGATTCTTCCCTTGGGGTGAGCTGTCCGCATGCGGGGTGGCCTGCCAGCATTTCGGAGGGAGCATGCGCAATGTGTTTACTGGAGTTCTATGCATGCTCACTTGAGGTGTTCCTCCCTTACCAGTCCAGAATTCCTAGAAGGTCATACCACCTGAACTCCGCCATTTTGCCTCTTCATGCGCATGCTTGAGCCCACTCACCCAGCTCCTGAGATCTTATCAGGAAGCTGCTTATCACCGGTTTCAGGTTTTTCTATCTATTAGGAGACTGCCTTTCCCTGGCACTGGCTGACACCAATTATTATTTTAGAGAAACAGTATAACAACTGCCTGACCTGAGGGTCACCTGACATTCTTGATGGCAGTAAGAGGGACCTCTCCTGCCCTGCTCATGTCTGCCTGACTACCTACTGTAACACTACCACTGCCTATTTTGCATCTGGTTCTCTTCATTCCTACCTGGCCCTTGGAGACAGTGGAGCTCAAGACTCTTGAATAAAGAAAAGCAACGTCATAAGTAGAAAATCGTTGATCCTTATCTGCAAAGGACAGAAGCACTCCAGAATGGAAATTGTGTTTTTACACAAAAGTAGTGTTTAGAGGCCATATTCCCACCTGAAGGAGGCTAGACAGAGTGAAGAACTCTAGGGGAAGGAACAATGGGGCTGGAGGAGGTTTTATAAGCTATAAACAAGAACAGTCATTTAGTTATATACAGGGAAAGAGGAGAGGTAGATACAAGTCCCCAAAACCAGAATGATTTCCTTCCCTCCTTTCCCCTACTTCTTTTTAAAATAGTATTTATTCCTTTTTTTCAGTTTATCATAGTGATAGGGATTACAGTTGGAGAAGAAAGCCACTTCTAGCCAGGCATGGCACCTCACACCTGTAATCCCAGCACTTTGGGAAGCTGAGGCAGGAGGATTGCTTGAGTCCAGGAGTTCAAGTCCAGCCTGGGCAACAAAGACCGTGTCTCTACAAATAATTAGCTAGACACAGTAGGGTGCACCTGTGGTGCCAGCTACTTGGGAGGCTGAGGTGGGAGGATCACTTGAGCAATCAGAAAGGAGTTCAAGGTTGTAGTGAGCCATGATAGCACCACTGCACCCCGGCCTGGGTGACAGAGCAAGACCCTGTCTCAAAAAGAAAAAAAAAAAGAAAAGAGAAGTCATTTCCAGACATTTTAACAGAGGAAGTGAGAGGAGGGAAGTTCTGGAAGAAATGGATAACCTGCTGCAATGATACTTCTGAGTTACATCATAATAAGAGAAGTTCCAATACTGAGCACGCAGAAGATAGTGACTGCCTGTACCTGAGAAAGGGGAAAACACCTAAGAGGGGAGTATTAACCTAAGACGAGAACTGAGGGGACACTTCCTAACTTAGTTCTTCAGTTGTCTCTTTTTTTTTTTTTTTTTTTTTGAAACAGTTTCGCTCTCGTTGCCCTGGCTGGACTGGCTGGAGTGCAATGGTGCGATCTCGGCTTACCACAACCTCCGCCTCCCGGGTTCAAGGGGATTCTCCTGCCTCAGCCTCCCGAGTAACTGGGACTACAGGCATGTGCCACCATGCCCTGTTAATTTTGTATTTTTTTTAGTAGAGATGGGGTTTCCCCATGTTGGTCAGGCTGGTCTCGAACTCCTGACCTGAGGTGATCCACCCATCTCGGCCTCCCAAAGTGCTGGGATTACAGGCATGAGCCACCGCGCCCAGCCTGTTGTTTTTCTTCTGTTTTGTTTTGTTTTTATAAAACCCTGCCTCTCATTTTAGACTACTTGTGGGAGAAGGAAATAAGTGATATTTATTGTCCTTTCATTTGGCAGATACTTATTGAGCAACTTCAGTGTACTAAGCCCTGTTCTAGGCAGTGGGAATGCAACAGTAAACAAAATAAGATTCCCTTCCTTCATGGGGCTTACAGTCCAGTGGTAGGTATAGGTGGGTGACATAGCAGAAACAGTGAAGGCGGCATTGTGAAACAGTCCTGCCTGCAGTGCTGCTAGAGAGCAGGGCTTGGATCCCATCCCTGATACTTGTATATGACAACAGCAAAAATGGTACTAAAAATAATATGTCGTTTCAGTGAATTTCCTCAAGGGCTTTACTAGTACCCTTGGTTAGCCACATTGGCCTCCTTTTTCTGCATTGAGGATCCAAACTCGTTCTTAACTCAATGTCTGTTCTCTGTGCAGGAAGATGGCTCTTTCGAGCCTTCTTGTCTCAGCTCTAAATAGTTCTTGTTCAGACAGATTTTGCCTGATCATCTGTATTAGGCTGTTCTTGCATTGCTGTAAAGAAATACCTGAGACTGGGAAATTTATAAAGAAAGGAGATTTAATTGGCTCATGGTTCTACAGACTGCACAGGAGGCATAGCACCGGCATCTGCATCTGGGGAGGCCTCAGGAAGCTTCCCATCCTGGCAGAAGATTAAGGGAGAGCAGGCACATCACATGGCAAAAGCAGGAGCAAGAGAGAGAGAGGGGAGGGGGGTGCACCACACACTTTTAAATGACCGCTGTCACCAGGAGGACAGCATTTAGACCAAGGGGATGGAGCTAAACTGTTGATTAGAAATCCACCCTCAAGGCTGGGCATGGTGGCTCACGCTTGTAATACCAACACTTTAGGAGGCCCTGCGGGTGGATTGATTGCTACTCAGGAGTTCGAGACCAGCCTGGGTAACATGGTGAAACCCTGTCTCTACCAAAAATACAGAAAATTAGTCGGGCGTGGTGGTGCATGCCTGTGGTCCCAGCTACTCGGAAGGCTGAGGTGGGAGAATCACTTGTGCCCAGGAGGTGGAGGTTGCAGGGAACCGTGATTGTGCCACTGCACTCCAGCCTGGGTGACAGAGTGAGGCCCTTTCAGGGGCAGGGGCGGGGGTGGGGAAGAAAGAAAGAAGTGCACCCCTGAGATCCAGTCACCTCCCACCAGGCCTCACCTCCCACCAGGCCCCACCTCCAACACTGAGGATTACAATTTAACATGAGATTTAGAGGGGACACATAACCAAACTATATGATCGAGGATCTGTAGATCCTAGAGCTGTCCATCAGATCTAGAATACACTCCTGCCACTTCCCTCCCCATTTTATCATATCTCTGTTTTCCCCCTAGTAACTCTCCTGCCCCCATTAGCGTAGGCTCTGAGAGGGCAGGAACCTGGCCTGTCTGATTTACCTTTGCATTGCCAGCTGCTAGAGTACTGCCTGGCATTAGTTAAGCGCTTGATGAACTAATTAATTTTAAAAGGCTATTTTCAGCATATTTCCTGCTGCTTCTCTGCATACACTCCACACCAGCCAAATTAACCTTTCTCTTCCCTAGGTCTTTCTACTGCTGTGCCTTTGCTCCTAATACTTTCCTTCTCCCTCAAGCCCAACCCAAAGCATACTTTCTCACTGCCAACTTGTCTTACCATTAAAGAATGATGTTCCCCTCATACACTCTATAGCAGTGGTCCCCAACCTTTTGGGCACCAGGGACCAGTTTCATGGAAGACAATTTTCCACAGACCTAGCAGGGTGTGGGGATGGTTTCAGGTTGAAACTGTTCCACCTAAGATCATCAGGCATTACTTAGATTCTCATAAGGAGCATGCAACCTAGATCCCCTCACATGCACAGTTCAACTAGGGTTCGCAGTCGTATGAGAATGTGATGCTGCTACAGATCTGACCGCTGAGGCGGTAACGCTCACTCGCCTGCTGCCCACCTCCTGCGGTGTGGCCCAGTTCCTAACAAGCCATGGACTGTAATACAGTCTGTGGCCCCAGCTTGGGGACCCCTGCTCTATAGTACTTCTTTTATATCTCGATCATTTGGTACTTACTGTGTCTATATATGTTTTTTACTCTAGGTATGCTGTAAATGCCTAGAGTACAGAAAATATACTTGTTAAAGTTATCCATAGTGTCTAGCAAAATATGTGTGTGTGTGTGTGTGTGTGTGTGACAGAGAGAGAGAGAGAGAGAGAGAGAGAGAGAGAGAGATGGAGTCTCACTCTGTTACCCAGGCTGGAGTGCACTGGTGTGTTCTCGGTTCACTGCAAACTTTGCCTCCTGGGTTCAAGTGATTCTCCTGCCTCAGCCTCCCGAGTAGCGGGACCAAAGACACCTGCCACCATGCCCAGCTAAATTTTTGTATTTTTAGTATAGATAAGGTTTCACCATGTTAGCCAGGCTGGTCTCAAACTCCTGACCTCAAGTGATCCACCCACCTTGGCTTCCCAAAGTGCTAGGATTACAAGCATGAGCCACTACGCCCGGCTGCAAAAATACATATAACTGACACTCGGTGACTGTTTTTGGTTTGTTAATGTGTGCTCTTTCTGGCACATGGATCAGAACCCAATTCCCTGATATGGATTGACCTTTCAGTGTTTTGGAGGCTTAACATATAAACTTAATGAAAAAGATTCAGTTTTGCAGACTTCTTTAAATTTTACTTCAAGAGTACTGCTGTATGTTAATATTCCATGTATGATATTTCTTGTAGCGTTCTTGAGAAATTTCCTAAGGAGTTAATGAAGCTGGGTAATTGCCAGGATAGTATGAAATTAAAGCAAAACAAATATGAGACTGCAAATGGAATGAACTGTTTAAGCTATATATTACTATATTGGGATCAGATAGAGTAGTAATGATGCAAGAAATATATCCAAGCTTTATTCTGGCTAACTAGAGGGAGCTATTTTTCATTTTTAATAAAAGTCTAAAACAGTTTAAGATCATATATTGTCTTTAAAAGGCTTAGTGTAGCTAATATTAGCATATTGCTTTTTATTTCCATTAACATGCTCAAGGACCTTGGTCTCTTCAGCTAAAAATACTCTTCTTTTCTATATAAAATAAAGTTCCTGGAGTAAATTTCTTTTTTTTCTTTAACTTTTGTAAAGATGGGGTCTCACTGTGTTGCCCAGACAGCATAGTGGCACGACAGCTCACTGCAGCCTCGATCTCCTGGGCTCAGGCGATCCTCCTGCCTCAACCTCTCAAGTAGCTGGGACTATAGGCACATGCCACCACAACTGACTAATTTCTTCCTATTTTTTAGAGACAGGGCTTCACTCTGTCACCTAGGCTGGAGTACACTGGCGTGATCATAGCTCATCGTAACATCAAACTCCTGAGTTCAAGCAGCCCTCCCATCTCAGGCTACCAAGTAGCTGGGTTTACAGATATGAGACACCACGCCCAGCCTGGAGTAGATTTCTTTATTGAAAATTTGGTAAATGGGGAAAAATTATTTTTATGCAGTGATTCTATTCCCAGAGAGGGCAGGTGGAAAGGAATGGGCAAGTCAATTCTAAAACAAAGAAGGGCTCCAGACTCCCCCCTTGACACAGGCCACAAGACCTAGAAATAGTAGCTTTGCTGGCACTGCTCTGGATTGAAGAAGGGGAACACACTTGAATGTGTCTTGCTGCTTAAAGCATTTTATGAACTTCTGTCTTCAGACGTTTCTAGAACTGAAACTGAACCACACGATTGTTTTTTATTATATCCCATGAGAGATGATTTAATTTTTGTTTTATAATTTTCCCCTTTTCCACCCATGAACCCCAAGCTTATTTAATAGGGTCATGTTGGGGAGGGCTCTCAAGAGGTTATTTAACTTTCCCTGGGTTCTGGCATCTGACACTGTTCTGAAAGAAACAAGTGGAGGATGAAGGGAAACAAACAAGAAGGTCATATTTGGAGACCCTCGGCCTCCTTATGAAAGCACACTTGTGCACTTGGATCAGTGGAGCTGCAGTAGGAGTGTTGTATGAGCCAACATACATACCTACAGGTGTGACAGCCTTGTATAACATCATCATCACAGACATCGTCTGTGCCCCTGTCCCTTGAAGTGGACACCACTTCAACAGAAGCAGTGGAATTAGCAGTTTAGAACCTCCCCACTTCCTGTCCGCTG